AGTCATTTCGTTAGCTAGCTATCACTAACGGTTAACTTGTTGTCTAATGTTAGGGTGCCCTCAGCTGACATAAATGTTACTATTTTCCGGAGGGTGTTGCAGCCTCAATTTTAAAGCTAGAGGGGATATACAGGTATCAAATGAAACGGCACGAAATACTGCATCCATTGGTACCTGGTAAACATGACATGCTATCATGTCGGGAAGAGGGGTTAATAACGCTCTCAAGTCAAGGTAGTTGACTTGTTGGTGATTTTAGCATCCATGTTGATAACCCCCAGGACAGAGGGATTAAAGAACTGTGGATAACTTTGGACTGACTCAGCACATGACAGAGCCCACACACAACAGAGGGCACACTCTGGACTTAATCATCTCCAAGGGCTTGGACATCTCCAAGGTTGTTGTTTCAGATGTAGCCCTCTCTGATCACTCCTGTGTTTTATTTGAGAGTACTGTGTCAATGTACAAAAGCATTCAAACAAAAGTGATCACAAAACGGTGTATCACTGAAAACACCAGTGAAATATTTAACCAGGTTTTCTCTTCCACAGCTGCCCTGTCCTGGGGCTCAGTCAGTGAGTTGGTAGATAACTTCAATTCTAAAATCACAAATGTTATTGATTTCATTGCTCCCACTAAGGTGAAGGTTGTCTCTGGTAAGAAAAAATCTCCATGGAGAAATTTAACACTGGTAAGAAACGGAAAAAGAGATTGTCGAAAAGCTGAACGCAGGTGGCGTAAAACTAATCTCCAGATTCATTATGACATCTACAAAGAGAGACTTCACACTTATAATTCAAAACTGAGGAATGCAAGGCAATCTTTCTTCTCTGACATGATCACCAGAAACAATAATAATGCTTGTGCCCTGTTTGCTACTGTCGACAGGCTAACAAACCCTCCTGTGTCAATAGCATCTGAATTTCATTCTATCAGGGCCTGTAATACATTTTCCACCTTCTTTACTGAAAAAATCCAGAAAATTAGACAAACTGTCAGTAACTCATCATCAGGATCAGGATATGTGCTGTGTCCATTTAAAACCAACTTAAGCACCATGACACAATTTAATCAAATCAACCTTCAAAACCTGGAGGACATTATACAACAATTAAATTCCCCCTCCTGCTGTCTTGACATTCTGCAAACAGGTTTTTTCAAAAAAGTTTCCCAAGTCATGGCTCCAGATCTGTTACAAATTGTAAATCTGTCTCTTCTCTCAGGTGTCTTCCCACAGGCCCTGAAAACAGCAGTCATCAAGCCACTATTAAAAAAAAACAATCTAGACAAGTCAATAATGAACAATTACAGGCCTATATCAAATCTTCCTTTTCTAAGTAAAATAATCGAAAAAGCTGTTTTTCAACAGTTAAATAACTTCTTGACATTGAGCGACTGTTTCGATGTCTTCCAGTCAGGTTTTAGACAAAATCACAGCACTGAGACAGCTCTGGTTAAAGAGTTTAATGGCATCCATTTATACACAGACAGTGGCAGAACCTCAGTCTTAGTTTTACTTGATCTCAGGGCTGCGTTCGACACAGTTAACCACAGTATATTACTCGACCGACTGGAAAACTTGGTTTCTGGCACAGTACTAAACTGGTTTGAATCCTACTTAAAGGACAGGGACTTCTTTGTGTATATAGGTAACTTCAAATCTGAGCAAACAAAAAATACTTGTGGAGTTCCATCCTGGGGCCTCTTCTGTTTAACCTCTACATGCTCCCACTAGCTCAGATTATAAAAAACAATAAAATAAGTTATCATAACTACGCAGATGACACACAAATATATATTACAATGTCGCCAGGCAACCATGGTCCCATAAAAGCACTGGGTAAAAAAATTTCTCCAGCTAAACAAAGACAAAACTGAGGTTGTTGTTTTTGGAGCAAAGGAGGAGCGACCAAGAGTCAGCAATCAGCTTCAGTCAGTAAGACTTAAAATCACAGACCAGGCAAGAAATCTGGGCGTAGTGATGGACTCAGACCTCAATTTTAAAAGCCACATTAAGACAATTACAAAGTCAGTCTACTATCACCTGAAGAACATATCAAGAATTAGAGGACTTATGTCCCAGCAGGACCTGGAAAAACTTGTCCATGCTTTTATCTTCAGTCGTCTTGATTACTGCAACAGTGTCTTTACAGGTCTGCCTAAAACATCAGTCAGACAACTGCAGCTGATCCAGAACGCTGCTGCTAGAGACCTCACCAAAACCAAGAAAATGGATCACATCAGTCCAGTTCTGAGGTCTTTACACTGGCTCCCAGTCTGTCAGAGAATAGACTTTAAAGTCCTGTTGCTGGTTTATAAAGCGCTTAAAGGTTTAGGGCCAAAATATATTAGTGACCTCCTGATTAATTACGAACCATCCAGACCGCTCAGGTCGTCTGGGACAGGTCTGCTCTCTGTCCCCAGAGTCAGAACCAAACACGGAGAAGCAGCGTTCAGTTTCTCTGCTCCTTATATCTGGATCAAACTCCCAGAAAACTGCAGGTCTGCTGAAACTCTCAGCTCTTTTAAATCGAGGTTGAAGACACCTGTTTACAGCTGCCTTTCATTAAACAGCTTGAATAAGATTTTGAATTTTAACTCTGCACTGTAACTTTTAACTCTTTTTATATTTTTACTTTACTTATTTCAATTAATTTCAATTGAATTATTTTTACTTGAACATATGTTCAGATTCAATAATTCCAATGTTTTTTTTTAATGTTGTATTTTAATCTTTCTTTTCTTTCCTCTGACATGATTCTTTTGATGTGTTGTGTGAAGCACTGTGAATTGCCTTGTTGTTGAACTGTGCTATATGAATAAGCTTGCCGTGCCTTGCCTTAACCATAGCGCCTCCTACTGCAAGGAATAAGTACTACACAATGCTCAATTTAGTTTGAAATTTCAGTTTAGATCACCACAGAGGGCTATCTCGTTGTCAGATGATTTAGAAAGAATATTAGTTAAGGAGGACAAGGTTTCCTTAGCTGCAGAAGGAGGTCTGTAGCAACCAACAACAGTAATATAACAGCCCTTGGACAACTCAACCTGTAAAGCTAGAATTTCAAACTGATTAGGTATTGACTTCTTGACCAATACTTTAGTGTGGAATTTACATTTAGAATACACAATTATTCCACCACCACGTTTAACACGATCAGCACGACTTTAATAGACCATTAATAGAACCAACACTATCATTAATAGATTTGTTCAGTCAACACTCAGAAATTACAATTATATCAGCATTAGTTGTCTGTGCCCAAACTCTAGCAAAGTCTATTTTAGATAGAAGACTACGGACATTTAAATGAATAATACCCAAACCAGATGTTAAGCTAAAATCAGCAGCAGTTTGAATACAATTAAAATCAGGACCAGGGTTAGACTGAACATCGCCAGATAACAATAACAGCAACACAATCAAGCACCGTGATTTAAACATTTTGGTTGAGTTACACTTAAGGTTTGCATCTGTGCAATGAATCGAAAATGAAAGAGCAATCGAGGGAACAATGAAACATGTTTTAAGCACATAGCAACACATCAAACCAATAGACAGTTTAGCAGGCAAAATTGGATTCGGCTCTACCATTCCGATTATATATCATCCTATAAAGTTTTCAGAACCCTTTTCTTTTCAATTGGTTTGGAGTACTATATGTGGTTACCTGGGGCAGAGGGACCTTGAGAGAGTCTTCCTGTCTAGATTGTTTGATGGATACAATAAGAAAGAAAGCTGCCTGATTGGTTTTTCGTTCTCACACTCCACAAATTTACTATATTTCGAAGGTTAAGCATGGACAGAAGGGTATATCATAAGCATTCTGTGTGTGTTATTATGTGATTCTTATGAGGCCAATTAACATCATAATTGTATATTTTTTCTCTTTTTCGAGACTGTTGTCTCGAAGGGGGGAAATATGAGGTGTCTGAAATATCTGGGAGGAAGGTTAGCTCCTCTCAGGGTGTATAGACAACATCTGGAAAGTGTTTGTAACTGAGACCTGTGTTGCCCCTTGAGTTAATGAAATACATAAATCTAAGACAGTAACCCCCACAGTTGAATGTGTGCATTGGGACCCTGTCTTCAGAGAATTGCCATATATGGAGTGCTGTTCTGCCCCCAGAATGAGAAGCAGATGTTCGCATGTGGGTGTGGGTGTGGGTAATTTCTGCATAAATATCACTGTCCTTGTGAGATTGAGAGAGATTGTTATTGGCTTCACGTCTCTCCCAGGCCGAATCATGGCAAGCCTGGAGATGCTGTTCTTCTCTGTAAATAAACTAATTATTTTACAAGCAAGTCAGTGTCTGCAGAGATTCCTTCATCATTTGCACATCATCAATGACTGAGAAACAACACTATCCCAGCTGTTTTTTTGGGCGAGAGTCGGGGTACACCCTGAACCCACGCATGCACGTGAAGAACATACAAACTCCACACAGAGAGGCTCCTGTCCAATGGGTATTCAAACCAGGAACCTCATCCCTGTGAGGCAACAGCGCCAACCACTGCACCACCTGCAGCTGTAATTTAAATCAATTTACAAATTTAAATGTAAATACGTCAAAAAGCGACTAAAATGAATCTTCACGTAATATACAAGCAGTTTATTAAATTCATTTGTACAGTACTGTCACATCCACATTACAATTGTTTTTCATAGAAAATCAGTAGCTGAAGTTTAGATTTCAAAAAAGTAAAGTGCAGCTCAACTGCTGATTCATTTCTGATAGAAATAAACATTTTAGTACAGCAGCTCTCTGACACAATGAGGTAGATGATGTGTTCCTTCAAAATAACCTTTTTCACTAATTTGTCGAAGAAAGACACTTCCTATTTAACAATAATTCCGTTCTGTGTATGGACAAAGTCATTTTCAGTCAGTAAAAAATGTCACATGTTATCTTCTTATGATCCCTGGAGTGCCTAACTATATATGAAAACATTTGTTCAGTGCAGCTTTAAGAGTTCTTCATTTTACCCCTGATGCTCAAGACTCAGAGAAGCCAGCACCGATAATCTCCTCTCTAGAAACAAAAGAAAGTCAAGCCAGTGAGAACAGTGACCAGGATGAATCACGTTTTCTCGCAGGCTATAGAGAAATAAAGTAGTACTATAAGTAGTAGAAGTGCTTTCCTGAAGTGCTTTCCATCTTCTATATATAAGAAGTGAACTTAAGTCTTGATGCAGAATTACGCCTTTGCAGAAGTCCAGCAGGGAGTGACTCCAAGCCCATTTGTAAACAAAATATATGTGAGAAAAAAATTCTTCATAAATGTACGGCTATAGTAAACATTTTCCTGATGAGCTCCTGGTTTCATTATCAGAGTTTCAGGTCTTCTTCAACATATCATGATGTTCATTTAAATAATGGTGCTGTTTGGATTAAAAACAACTTGGAACAGGGTATTTTTAGGGCATTGCTAAATTATGATTAAGTAATCACCATGACAACCAGTGCAGTAATGTTCTTACTGCACGAAGAACCCCTGAAGAGTCTGCTGTTCATGTCATTGTCAAATACATTTTGTTCTAATTTCCCATGAACCCAGAATATATTTTAGTCACTTATATCTTCTGTGATTTACATCTTTAAGCCATCCAAGCTAACCTGATAGCTTAGCATTTGCTAACCACTCAGTCCTCTCAGACTCAAACTGTTTTTCCTATTGTCACTCTCCAAAAACCACCAAAATGGCGTTCTAAGAACCCCGGCTTAAAAACATGCTAACTTCTGATATACAGTCAAGAGTAAATTCATATTTAAAACTATAGTAATTCAAAGATGACTTTAAATCTCCCTCAACATAGAAACACAGATTTTTCTAGATAATAAAATAATAATATAGTTTTAACTTCCTCAGTTTGCCCCTGCCAATTACCTTTGGCAAACATTAAACCAAACATTAGCTTTGTACCAATCACAGTACATAGTACATACAAAAAAAACGTCATGCAGTTTTATGCGAACAAATGTCTCTCAAATTCAAGTTTGCTTACATTCATCTGTGCGAGTCACATCATGTAAATCCCTTTTACGAGTGGGAGGTTTCTATGCCAAGAGTTGGAGACACACTGATAAGACGAGGAGATGCAAAAGGACGAAGAGGGACGAGTGAGCGGGGCAATCCACACCGCTGGCAGTTGTCATGCTGGGGGAAGCTGTAGTGCTGTTGGAAGCTGTGGTGCTGTTGGAAGCTGGAGATAAGAACGTTCCTATCGTCGATGTCAAGAATGCCTGAAAGGTGCTCAGTTTGGTAAAGACCATTAGATCTGCTTTCACTACTCGACCTCGGGTGCTTGAGTTATTTTCAAATGACAACACGGACGCCTGGAACCAGGACCCATCCAGCTTACACATGAGAGGACCGCCAGAATCCCCCTAAACATAAAGGACAAAAAAAAACCCTAAGTTTACAGAACAAGGGAGTATTTGCCACAAAGCATTAAGTTAAATGTGTGAGGCATTCAAGCCCAGGAAAAACACTGCCACAAAATGTATCGTATCCTATTCTATCCTATTATATGGTAGCATAATGTATGGTATGGTATGTCAGGTTAAGTATCATAATGTGTTGTATAACCTTACCTACTGGACAGTACCATATCATACCGTACCATACAGTATTGTATCGTACAGAACAGTATTGTATCATGCTGCACTGTAGTGTACTGTATCTCATCACATCGTACCGTATCATATCATATTCATTTGATTAAAAAACAGACTTATATCATGTTATGTTGTAAAGTTTCAGATCAGCTACAAAAGGCCAAGTTTGACAATCTACTACTTTAGTTTCTCACCTGCTCCAGTGTGAGTGATGCTGTACAAATCGTGTCACTTGATGACGTGTTTCCACAATTCACGATTGAGGTCTGTAATTCCTGCAGAACTTGTTCCTCTGACAATGGGGGAAAATAAAAGGATTATTATTACAGGTCACTTCCAGTAAACTACCTCAAATGGGCATACAAACTCTGTAAGAATGTCCATGTGTAAACATTTTATCTAAAGAGGTGAAGTGATAGAAGTGTTACTATGCTTCAAGGACTCACCCCCACCACGGCCAGAGCTCCAGCCGGCAGCCCAGCAGGTTGAGCCCTCTGAGAAGGTCTGTCCGTTGTCCAGACAGATGGGCTGGATATAGACTGACAGGGTGGGTTTGGTTGACAGTTGCAGCACTGCTACATTTGACCCACTGAGGTTGCTCAGGGTGATATTTGTCACATTCAGTGTCACCTCAAAAGGGTTGGATCCATTCTGTTTCAAACGACCCAAAACGACGGTCCATTCAGATGGCGTGGGGGAACTGTTGGAGGTAAAGAGAACACTTTGATTCACCTTTTTAGACTCTTCTCAAAGACAGTGCATTTGTCTTTTCAATCCAATGCTAATTGTTTCACATATGACCTTCTGGATATTCTTAGAAGTTGTTATTCTTAATGCCGGATCGAGGGTGGGTTGGGGTGGGGCGAGTCTAAGGAGGAAGGTCGTGACATAAAAAAGGACACCGCGGTCATATTGCTCACAAGACATCCAAGAGGGCGGGCCAAGCAGAGTCTGACACTACACAATCATTATTATTGGACATATCCACACTATCAATGAAAGAGTGGAAAACGTGTGCTGGAGCAGTAAAGAGTATGACGCTGCTTTCACATGCTCAGTGATTACGGCAGTTAGTTACTGGTCATGTGACATGAACACCATCAACCCGTTCTGAATTTTCTGAATCGACTATAGAAACTTTTCGAACCTACTAGTAATGTAGACCCCAAAATAGCTAAAGATGGAGCACCGTTTCAATAATAATGAAAGTCCCTTTTCATTGGCTCAAACTTAAAACAGAATACTGACATCACTTCAGGTGTCTCACCTTGAGAAGCAGTTGGCGTTGCTCAACACAGAATCCAAGGCAACCAAAGTCCCACCACACACATGGCTTCCATTCTTCTGCAGGCTCGCCATCCACGGCCACACACCAGCCTGTGTGACTGAGCTACCTCCCATTATACGAGAATTCAACGAAGCTTGACCACAGACCACAGCTGGAGAGAAAGCAAAAAAAGATCCATAAGTAAAGATTATCCTTTTAGAATGGTGCAGCCATGAAATACATGGAGTCCTTGGTTTGAATTTCTCCCTCAGTGTGAACGTTCAGCGACATGATCTCAAACAAGTTGGTGGTGTATCAACAGCTCATACTGACTGTGTCAAATTAAGGCTAAAAAAATCAGCAGGTACTAATTCTGGACATGTCAGGCACTCACGGGCTACGGGAGGGATAGTGGTTGGTGCTGGTGGCAGGCCAGGACAGGTGACACTCAGGTCACTGTTAGTCCCAGTGGATGTGAAGACGATGTAGCCCGGCTGGTTGCTGGTGATGTGACTGTTGATCCACAACTGGTACTGGGACACTCGGGTGTATACTCCTGGAAAATTAGGCAGAGCACATCCAGCTCCAAAACTTACAACCCCCTCTAAGATCCAGACGCCGTTCTGCTTGCTCACCAGCGGACCTCCTGAATCCCCCTTTGAGAAAAAAAAAGGAGCGTTCAAGAGAGCTTCATCTTGGTAGTCACAGGTTGTCAGAATCTGTCCCAAATAACGATGTTCAAAATGCTCACCTGACAGGAGTCCCTTCCTCCAGCCTCTAACCCGGCGCAGATCATGTTGTCTGTGATACTACCCACTCCATAGTTACAGTTACATCTTCTGTTGCCCACTATTGGCACCTCCACCTCCATAAGGTTTTGAGGGGAAGGAAGGGGCACTGTAGAAAAACAATGTATGTTCAAAGATGTTGCCTCAAAACTGTTTTCCACAAATTGGAACTTTTGAATATTTCCTCGTAAATGAACATTTTTGATTTTAAACCTAGCTTGTACAAGTTTTGACCAATGGTAGTGCTCCGTTTTCAACTGGTTCCAAATGAACTGAGCACATAACTCCAACTTCTTCTGACCTCTGCTGGTTACCAGTTAGTTTTAGAATTGATTGTTAGAAGTATTGCTAGTTTTTAAAGCCTTACATGATTGGGCACCACTTTACTGTTTGAGATCCTCTGGCAGAACTATCATAGGGCCTTCGCTTATATTTATTGTGATTATCTTAATATCTAAGTATAACTTTCTTTCTCTATGTTCTGTTATCTCTTGTATTATGTAGTGTACATGTGAGGCACCTTGTAATTCTGTGTTTGAAGGATGCATTATAAATAAAGTTATCATTATTACTATAACTTTTCTGGAAAAAAAGCAAACGTAATCAGGTTGATTTCAGACGCACCTCCACTTCCAATGGTGCCCCAGCCGGTAACCCAGGCGTCGATGCCGCTGAAGAAGGTGCTGCCCGGGGCCGCCAGGCACACGGGCAGGATGAAGTTGGTGAAAGTCACAGTTGAGGACAGTTTCAGGAGTGCGATGTCGTTGTCACTAGTAACAGCGTTGTAGTCAGGGTGGACAATGATTTCCATTACCGACCTGGACACTTCGTTGGAGTTGGTTCCCTCCTGACTCTGTCGGCCCAGATACACCAGCAGACTGCTGGCAGCAGTGCTAAAGTGACCACAAGAGAAGAAAGCAGTGATCAGGCATAATCAACAGTCTGGACAAGAAAACTGTCAAGTCGTGTTTGTTTCCCAAAAGGCAGATGGCTGTTCGCCATGAGTTTGGTTCTGCTAAAGGTTTCTGCTTTTTTTTCTTGCCCCTGTTGCCAAATGTTGCTAAACGCTCACTCATAGTGTTTGGTCCATGTAGAATATTGGAATGAATATGAATATGCTGCGTTTTGCACACACTGCAGGCGTCCATTTTTAGTCGCCCACGGTGGAAATGTCGACATACAAAGCTATATTAAAACGAGCAAACAGTGGGCACAGGCTGAAAGGGGAACTGTTGAGAACAACTATAGTGAGTTTAACACCACAGTGACAACCAACTTAAACAAACTGCTCAGGAGGAAGCATTTGTGCACCTTGAGTGACCAGTGCAGGTCACTGATTGGTGGATCGATACTTTGGGGTTTGTGGTCAAATTAAAGTGTGTCGAATTGAGGTTTGAAAATATGGTCACTCTAACATAGAGCTAAAGGTAGCTCTTGGCTCTGTGATACCATTTTTGTCAGATGACACCTTGAAATCAAATATTGGGTGCTTGAAACAAATCTTTACTGATTGAAAAGTTATTCTTCCATTGAAAAAGAGTTTAAGGCTTCATGAGGGACTCCACATTTGACTATTTCTGACTCTTACCGTTGGAAGCAGTGAGCAGCAGACATCACCCACTGGTTGTTAATGAGGGACCCTCCACAGAAGTGAAACCCAGATCGGTGCAGACTGACCTGCCATGGCCAGCTGCCTTGAGGAGCCACCTGTCCTCCAACAATCCTGTTGTTGAGTGGCGGTTTCCCACACACTAAAAATGGATAGAAAACAAGCGCACAAGGTAAGTAATCCTCTCCCCTCCCTGAAGCATTGCATCTCTGGGTTTAGGATTAAGATCCGGAGTGTGCCGGGATATTTCAAGGTGTGGCTGATCAAACATAATTAAGGTAAAAATGTTTTTTTATTTCACAACCAGTCTAAACATTCTGTTGCTTTTAATGACACGCTGTTTTTACGGTAACCATAATAATAAAAAAAGCAAAAACAACATTTATACTTCCATAAATGAGTGAAAGAAAAATAACCAGGACTCACCATCAAGCTGTCCGAGACACTCTGAAAAAAAGAAGACCAAACATCTTCATTCAACAATTCAGAAATCTCCTGAACTCATATACAGCTAAACATACATGGAAGGGGTTTTAAAGAGGGGGCACACTTTGAACCCCCCTCCTCCCCCAGCTGACACACAGGGGGAAATATTTTTTTCCAGCTCTCTCCAAGACTTCTCTGACTCTTTGATTCACTCAGAAATCATCATGATCATGAAAGGTTTAACTTTGCCAAGCTTGAGGAGGTGTTCCCTCGTCTTATTTTTGGCATTTCTGCTGATGCATTTTATTCAGTCGTTATCAAAACATTTTATGGAGAGATCGACTTCTGCTGAGAATTTTGACCTCTCGTTGAAACGGTTTGATGACTTCAACATTTTTGTGGCATTGAGTAAGTGTGCAGGCCTTTCTCCTTTGTCCAGTTTCCACATAGACCCACATATGTCATTATTAACTGTCTTTAAAAAAACATAACTGTGTGACATACAGTACATGGTACTAGGAGTATAGAAGTATTAGTAAATGGGGATTTGAAATGTCACATTTGTTTAAGTGGCATTGCATTCTTCTTTAGAAGTGTGACCCTCTGTCCTCAACCTGAGTTTGGTTGCGTGAAGTTGAACAATTAACACATACAGGTGAAATCATTCAGCATGCAGGCGACTGAACAAAAAGGGTCTTAGAACATTGACACATGTCATTAAACCCTGACGTTTCAAAATCTTACGCAAAGGAGCAGAAAAATAACAACAATGACAGAACTTCCTATATTGACAAACAATTTAAATGCTGTTATTTGTGCGTGAGTGAGCAGTGGCGTCATTGTCTGCGTGTTTTTTTTTATTTTCAAGAATTTTTCACACTCCTGTTGTTTTAATGGATCTCACTGTTGTGTGGCAGCAGTGCCTTAGTGTGTGCACATCTCATCTGACAGGTTTTACAGTCAGGTCTGGCAGGATTTTTGCACTCTTTCAGTTTAAGTTCATTGTTGAGGTTGTTTACAGGATCTAGTTTTTGCCTCTTGTATTTTGGTAAATGTTATTTTTTCCTTTTAAAATCCAGTTGTTTACATTTTTTTATACAGAGTAATCAAATGAATCTTGAACCCCTCCTCTAACATGTCGACCCTTAGAGCCTCTGGTCACTCTGCTGTTCCTACATTATATGAAAAAGGAAAGCGAATATATACCTTCTGTGTGTATCTTGCCCTACGGTTTCTTTGGGGTTAAATCTTAAAGACTTAAAGATTGATTTCTGGTCAGATTAACGTCGTCCTGTAGGAGTTGTTATGTGGACTCGAGGGTTTTTCTAAGATTTACTTTTACTTTTATTGATCCCGCGAGGGGAAATTCTGTTTTTACACTCTGTAAGTCATGCAACACACACATAGGCTGAAATACACACACATGCACAAACAGGATCCTATGGACATGCACTAATGGAGAGATGTCAGGGTGACGGAGCTGCCCCCGGCAGGCGCTCCTGAGCTGGTGGTGGGGAGGGGGTTTGATGCCTTGCTCAAGGGCACCTCGGCAGTGCTCAGGAAGCAATCTGGCACCTCTCCAGCTACCAGACCAACTTCCATATTTGGTCCGCGCTGAGACTTGAACCGGCGACCCTCCGGTTCCCAACCCAAGTCCCTACAGACTGAGTGACTGCCGTCCACATTCTGTGATGTGGATGACGGTCCTGCTGCTACTCGATGACTAAAATGTTCAAGGTCCATCTATTCCTCAGCTAACGCTTCACAATCGGCTTCACGATGAGGTGTGGCTCCACCTTTACTTGCCAATCCACCAAGCACCGATCCTCTGAGGAGTGGAGACTGAAATCTGTGCCGACGCATTTTTAAAAGTGGCTCTAATCTCGTAAAGAAAGCCTGGTTAATACCACAAGTATTCATTTCATTTTATGATATGTAAAAATCAAAGAGAATCACTTAAAGCTCAGATTAGGTAACATAATTGAAACATTTTAAAATCAATGGTCCACAGGTTGTAGCACCAGGTTGGTCTCATTATACATCATATTCTTTAGAATCAATTAAAGACTTTCAAATCTCCTTGAATGAAGCTAAAGGAGTTAAAAAAGTAAGAAAGCTGCAGCAATATTTTATCATTGACCTTAAAGGTGCACTATGGAGTTTTGGTAGAGAAATATGGAAATTGGAGAAATTTACAGATTCTGTGGTAAATGTTCTTAACTCTGTACACAAACTGTCCAAAGAGGAAAATGTGGTCCCTGTAACACTGTTTGAAGATAAAATTCTACGTGAGAAGTTATGGTGGGGCCCAAATCAGTGAATCCGTAACTCTCCTGGTAGCTTTTTAGCTCCAAACAGTGTCCAGAGATCCATTTTCTCTTTGAGTAAAGTTTGTGTATTCAGTTCAGAATACCACCAAGACTGTCCAACATACAAACTCAGACAAGAAACTCTCCCCTCACTCTGGGCTCAATCTGACTCAATGGAAGGGTTTAAAAATGTCTATGAATCCGTCTACACGTTCTTAATGGTCATTTAAATATTTCATCTCACTCCACAAATATTAATTAACACACTAAATAATCACATTTTAAGCGTTTTTCCAGAATTACATTGCAAGTCACATTAATATCTTCAAATATTAAATACAGAGAACAATCAGAGAGGAAACATTATGTTCAGGTTACTGCTACTATCATTAAATACACGTTTTCGTAAAAGTGTTAAATAATGAAAACTGCTCCTTTAAGGTTGCTCAGTGATTGAATTAAATCTGGAATCAAACCCAAATAAACACGACGCTTTTATGAAGCCGCATCAGTTGTTTCAATTCAATTCAATTCAATTCAAAAAAACTTTATTTGTCCCCGGGGGGAAATTCAAGGCACTAAAGGTCTAAAGGTTGAGGACATATTTGAAGATGTTGTGATTTATGGTGTTAAGGCTGAATATAATTAATGCACAGAGTGAGTGACGGGACGACATCCACTCAGAGGCTGCTCAGCTGATAATTAAAAACCACAAATGGAGAGTTGTAGTAGGTCAATCATTTGTTTGTTTGTTGTAAAACAGGACAAATGAAGGCCTCAGTTCTGTCAGGAGCACATTTAAGTTAGAACGGTTTTAAGGTTAGAGTATTTTCAGAATTAAAGGGTTCTCACTTTTTTTTCCATGTCTGTCCAACTACTTTGAATAAAGCTTACTTTGCACGGTTGTTCTTTTTTTAAACATTCGCTCTAACGTACAACACAATAATCTGGAAGAGTTCAGAAGATTTTCTTAACAAGAACAAGACTTTCAATACTGCTTTGTTGTTTCTCTCATTATATCTGATTCGTGCATATTTTGATTCGGTGTGTCAGTATTTTGGCTTTGTATAGTTTATCACTAATGTTGTGTGAAAGGCTGGTTTTTAAAATAAGAGTTTGCACAGAGTTACAGTTGTGCAACACTTTGCTCTTCTTTACTAATCAACTTCATTCTGAGAGTTTCTCCGGCATGCAGCAGTGAGTGGATCTCAAACATGATTGGTTCAGGTGTGTGCGTTGAGGAGGAGGGGGGAGGAAAGGGAGTCCTTACCTTGATTGAAGAAAGTCAGCAGGGTTGCCGCACAGATCACTTTGTGGAGAGCCATAACTGGAAGTCCATAATATCTGAGTCTGCTCTGGCATAAATAAGCTTCTTCTCCCCTCCCTCTCTCTGCCTCCAACACAAACACACCTCTCTCTGCTCCACTGACAGGTGCCGTCACCTGTCCAATGACACACCCAACAATTCTCCACTTATCACCTTTACAACACAAGCCTCCCTCTCTTAGATATGCAATTATTTACAGTTATTGTGAAATAGACTTCACTTCAGTGGCTCCAAACCTTTCTTGGCTCATGAACCTTCATTGACTTCCCAAGTGTGTTTTCAATCATGTAGCAGTTTTTTCTACTGTGTTTCAAGTCAAACAATCTATCAGTAAATCTTTATTTGTATAGCATCAATTCACAACAAATGTAATCTCAAGACCTTACTCATTGCTTTATACAAAGACCCAACGTTAATCCATCATGAGCACAGCACTGAGCAACATTTGGTAAGAAAAAACTGTCTTTAGAATGTGCGACTTTTTGATCCAGTTGATGTCACCGTTGAGCACCAGCATGAAACCAAAACAAACTGCTGTTTGGCAAAACCTCCGCTATTCTATAGCCTCCGCTCTCCTCCAGCAGCACACCTCCAACCCCCCTCCCCTCAAGTTCGCACAAAGGAGTTATCAATTACAACGCACCATAATTAAGCACCATCGAGAGGTGGACAAAATTGTCCTTTGCTCGAGCTGCAATCACCTGTGTCCTGCATTGTCGTGTTAGCAGGCTAATGGTAGCACACTTTGGTTAACTCATAGCTTCATATTGCACATAAATAGACACGGAATGATTGTGCTCTAAAGACACTTACGTAACATCCACATGAGCAGGGAGTGTGTTATTCTATTTTTCTCTAGTCCTTGACTAAAACAGCTTTAAACTCAAGGCCGTCCCGTCCATGTATACATGATGTAAACATAGCTCCAACAACAATACACCTGGCAGGACTCGTGCTTCTCACTCATTGTAGACAGTCATGACTCAGAGACATTTACAGAGGAGATACTTGATTTCTGCTGAATTTATGTGCAAAAAGTTGCACATTCTTCCTCTAACAGGCAGAAATCTTGAGCAAACCCAGACTCATGATGAACAGCCATCTGCCTAAAGTGTGCAGGGCTTTAAAGACGGGATGGGGGAGATGCAGGAAGAAGGATTGGGGCGAAACAGACAGGGGGGGTGGCAGTCCATAGCAGCCGGCCGTCCCCAACAATCGGAGGAACCCACCAATCCCGAGGAAACCTATGAGACAAGAGAGCTCAGGAGCTCCCAGGAAAAATAAGTGGTTCAGTATCTTATGTAGGATGAAGATTTACAAATAATGGCATTTAATTTTAAGGTGCAGCTTTAACTACACAAAGCCGAGAATGCTGCTGTACTTTCACTTGAAACTCAAACTACATGAAACTGAATAAACTTGTTTTGTTTTACAGTCATGGCAGCTTTAAACTTGTATTTGATTACAATCCAAGGGACTTATAACTGGAAAGTCCAAGTCAGAAGACAAAGAACCACATTGAAATTGCATGATATGCCTTCCCGTACGTTGTATGTTTATGAGATACAGCAGGGTTAATGATTCAGCTGTGCTAACAAATAAACTCGCCAAAAAACCAAAACTACAGGTAAATCTTCACTCACATTAAAAGGTAGGATTAATCAGTTGCAGCCAGAAAAAGTTGAATCTCCTCTGAGTAGATTTGATCTGGTTATGAAGACTGAAATGAATCACAATGCCTCTTTACGACCTACAAAAGCAAACGAGACCCTCAGCATTAAGATTGATAATGTCCTTATCATTATGTTTCATGTTTACAACCGTTGCTGCAGGGTGGGTGTGTGACTAATGCACACCGGCCCTTAGAATGTGAAATCACCATCATTAATAGGTATTAAACTGTTATTTCAAGGTTAAACTGTTACATAATCTCGCTTTACATACATTTATCTTCCCCGTCCCCGAGTTGTTTTTTAAAAGAATGCAGTTCACCTCAATGTGTTCATTTACATTCATGACATTCGACCTTTACTCACAGTTACTCAAAGTCAGAATCTGTTTTTGTTTTTCACTTTAAGCATCAAGAATGCAAAAGGCCTTGTTTTTTTGTTTATTCTTTTCCTTTGAACATAAGTTGAAGTTGACAAGACTTTCCTGTTTGTTAAGAAAAGGGAGGAGCACTTGGTTTCATTCCAAAAAGATAACCATTTACTGACATTTAATAAAAAAGTATCTGCCATCAAGTGTCACCTGGTCACATTCCTGCATCTCTGCACTTAAGTCTGTTCATTGTCTGTTCAACTTCCTTTTCACGTCTTCAAATCTATAAGACCTTTGAGGGATCTTTAGTATATTTTTGCTCATCTTTGAGACTCACACGCTCTGATTAAGGAGACACCTTTAAAAAAACGGGTGTCCCCTCCTGGAGGTCGTAGGTCATTTCAGTTAATTTCTACTAACAAGAAGAAAACATGAGACAATGAAAACATGAACATAATTTTTTCAGACTTTAACCATGGCGGAAAATGTTTTCTGAAGCAACCAAAGGGTAATATATAGAATTAACATCTCCCCCTACTTTAATCAAAACTGAAAGTAATTAGTGGAGGTGGGGGAAAAAAGTCGATAAAACATAGTATCGTGATATTTTGTGTGCCGATATTATATCGTCTCATGGCTGGCCAAGTTTCGATATTTTATTTATATTTATAGCAAATATGCTGTTTTCATTTTTTAATTGCTGAATTGGTTGCACAATTGTTCAAAATGACTGCCACTGTAAACAACAGAGGTTCAAAGTAACGAATTACATTTACTCGCGTTACTGTAATTGAGTAGTTTTTTGGTGTACTTACTACTTTTTAAGTCGTCTTTAAACTCTGTACTTTTACTTTTACTTAAGTAGGTTTTCACACTTAAATAGAAATCAAGTATATTCTCTGAAAATAACTCTGTGAGTCATGACTGTCGACAATGGGTGTAACACCCGAGTCCCACTGTCTGTGATGTTTTCAGAGTTTTCTGAGTCAAATCTTCAGTTTGTTAACATCGCCCGGACAGACAATAAAAGTTGTTTATTTGAGGGACAAGAGAAAAGAAGAATAACATACTGTACTCACTGCTTAACTGTGTTTCTAGATCACGCTCATTTCAGGTAAATGTACATGCAGTGTGAAGATACGAGCATAATAAAGATCGCTAGCATTAGCATGCTAACACAACAATGCACCACAAGTTGTTTTGGTTTCATGCTGGTGCTCAAGGGCGACATCTGCTGGATCAAAAAATCGCATATATAGCTTTTAAACATTTCCCTTCATAAAACAGCCTATGTAATATTGTTAGGTGGGGGTTGTTTCTGTTTGTATAAATCCAATGAAGAAATCGTGAAACAGACTGGAGATTATAACACCATTTAATCGGCCGAGGTCAGACAACTTCATCAAACAAGCACGCTTCCAAATCACTTGACAGACAAAGTGCTGACAAAGTAACAGTGTTCACAGTGCTGCTTATATTCTGTCAAAAAGGTGCAACCCACAAATTCCTTTCTATTTGGGTGCATCACCATAAAACAATAAAGATGACATGACACTGATTTGTATACGTAACAACTGTAGACTCTCTGTCTAGCAAACAGTTGCTGACAACATATGCTTCACCCATATAAGGTTACAGCTTCAGACACCTAAAGGTAGGAGTGTTAACACGTGGTAGACAGACTTGAATAATACATTTCACGAAGTTACCAAGATTAATGAATTTCATGAAAATTCGTACTAACAAATATACATATAATCCTTGATTATTTATTCATCATTATGTATATTTTGTTTTTGTCAATGGGGTAGAAAATAAAATGTTTATCTGAAAAGATAAATCTTTGTAAAGGTTGGCCTTTACTTAAAAAAACTTTGAGATTAAAATCCCCTCGTCCTTTTTTCACGACACGCGAGAGATGCGTTGTTAAAAAAAGTAACTTTTACTTAAAGTACATTTTAAACAAGTTACTTTTTACTTTTACTTTGAGTACATTTTTAAACTGGTACTTTTACTTGTACTTAAGTAAAATTTTATCAAAGTAACAGTACTTTTACTTGAGTAGAATATATTAGTACTCTTTACACCTCTGATAAACAAGGTGTTGACTGCATGCTTCCAGTATCAAGTGGTGAGTCTGTGGCCTTCAAAGAACTAGAAGAATTAGAAAAAACACCTACATATGGAAAATGGCTATAATATGAAATCTTGCAAGTCATATTGAGTAGATACTGACACACAATCAGTTAAACCCTCGCTTTCACTTAATTATTAAATGCTCTGGTCAATTGCAGTAAATGCAACCAGGTCATCTGACTAATTATAGGACTTGTGAAACCAACTATCTGCCACAGTAATGTTACAGGTTTATGGGCATGAGTAATTGTGCAAATATGCAGGTCAACTTTTTATTGCACATGCATGATTGTAATCAATTAGCTTATCACTAACATTGAAGTTCTGTTGTTCAGTTAAAACAATTTCAATTTAAAATCAACATTAATTCCATAGTTCAGGTTTTCCCAAAATGTGGGCCACGACACCCTGGTGGTCCGTGCGGGTACTGCAGGTGGGCGGCGAGAAAACCTCAGCCAAGCAGAAAAATAAAAAATATCACAATGATGATGATTTACCATGACTCAACAATTTAGGTGATAAGTAAGTCCTGTCACGACTATTCTCGGACATTATATCATAATATTTTACAATCGGTTATCTTTCTTGTGTGTGTCTACCATGTTGTCATGTCTAATTGAGAAGGACAGCTGTATGAAACGTACTGGTCCCCTTCAGTTGTAGTGTGAAAAGTACAGATTTAAACAGTGTGACATTTATTTGCATAAACCGACAGCCTCTAGAATTCTGACATAAACAATACACTAATATAAAAAGCATTTAGTTGTGTAAACTATGAACAACAAAATAAACTGGTTCAGCAATCGGTCCCGCACAAGGCATTACGGGAAACAAGGCATGACGAGCTGTCGCTACTGA